CTGCCCATATATAGGCCTATATATATATATATATATATATATATATATATATATATATATATATATATATATATATATATATATATATATATATATATATATATATATATATATATATATATATATATATATATATATATATATATATATAATATATATGCCTGGTATATAACCTAGGGGCAGTAGCGTAGCGAGGGGGGGGCGGGGGGGGCGGCGGGGGGGACGACATATGTCCCCGGGCACCGACCTTAGGGGGCGTCAAAATGGGTTGGAAAAATAAATTGAAAGGTTGAGGGGGGTGAAAATTAAAAGTTTGAGGGGGGGGGGTGCAAATGGAAATCTCGAGGGGTGGGGGTGTGCAAATCGAAAGTTTGAGGGGGGGGGGTGCAAATGGAAATCTCGAGGGGGGGGGGTGCAAATCGAAAAGTTTGTCCCCGGGCGCCGGGAAGGGTCGCTACGCCTCTGCCTAGGGGCGCCAAAATCTAGACTACCCCTCTGGCGATTGAATGAGTACCCATGCTGCTAAAGTTGAACCCCAAATCTCAGAAATCCCATATTATAAAGCATTTCCTACATGGGCTTATACTCAGGCCCCTATACACCATTGCGATGAAATAAAAACACCGGACTAAACAGAAAGCCAGCAATAAGCCCTGAGAAAAATAAACCAGTCGACATACGCCTGAGACCGACACATATCGATACAGAAATCCAACACTGAAACACTAAAACCCACCTGCAATTGAGAGTTTCGCACAAACGTATGTCATGATTTCCGTGATTTCAAATCTAACAAATAACGCCCATCTTCTTTTGGCTTTAATTTGCAAGCGAAAACCCCGACGACTTAGTCTGAGTCGGTAAGAAATCTACATAATGTTATGTTGTCCGGCAGAGAGAGAAACGAAGCCCACGAATCGACCGTGCACGGCAGATTTTTCCCTCGCTCGCACCATCCATCGATCCATCAGCCCATGGAAGACGACGCAAATTATGAATGGCAAATTCGTTGGCTAGCCAGCGCTTGATTACCACGCTCGCAACGTCTAAAAATAGACGGGTCATGTGATCTATCGTTTATTTTTGTTTCAGCTTTGGCTAAAAATATAAATTTGCTCATATAATTATATGATTGTGCTCTTTGCGTACCTAATCTTCTTCTATCATGCATGATTAAAATAAAAGCCAGAATACTCCACTATTATGAGTGATATGTGGCACATATTATAGGCCTATAGGCTAACACTTTCACAGAATTTAATCAGTAGCGTAGCGAGGGGGGGGGGGGGGGGGCGGGGACATATGTCCCCGGGCGCCGACCCTAGGGGGCGCCAATATGGGTTGGAAAAATAAATTGAAAGGTTGAGGGGGGTGCAAATCGAAAGTTTGAGGGGGGGGGGGGGGTGCAAATCGAAATCTCGAGGGGGGGTGCAAATCGAAAGTTTGAGGGGGGGGGGTGCAAATCGAAAAGTTTGTCCCCGGGCGCCGGGAAGGGTCGCTACGCCTCTGAATTTAATAGGCTATTATAACATTCTCCAGAAACCATTTTACTAGATCAGCAGTCTATGATAATCAATGTCAACGTACTCATTCAGCCATTTAAATAGCAGGATTTTTGCAACCAAAAGAAAAAAAGGAAAACATGGAATGGAGTTGTTATATAACGGTGTTCGATGTCACACATCCACAGCATATAAACAACATAACACATTATTAATTGCACCCCATCCTATACAAATACATAGGAAGTGGCTCCTTGTACAGTAGATATGTTAATTATGTTATGTAGGCTACTTGCGTTTGTTGCGTAGGTAGGCCTATATCACAATTACTTGACGATATATTCGACTACTGTTGCTAGCATGTATTTTTTACTGATGTGTAGGGATAACTGATTTTTTAAAAAAAATCTAGATCTAACTAGATCTAGATCTAAGCCTATAATAATTCAAAAGCTTAAAAAACCAGTCCAAAACCAGAGAACTTTATTAATAATAAATTCAAATTGCATGTCCAATATAATTTGTGAAATCGATTCAATTTAGTTGGTTTAATTTTAATTACATAAAGCACTGATATTATTCAGAAATTATATTGAAATGTCAATAATAAAATTAAACGAAAAGAAAGCATAATATTTTTTTTTATTGTTACACTAATACACTTTGCTTTGGTCTATGAATAATCTTTAATGAACAATTTCTACTGATTACTGACTTAGTTAAATATATTAATATAGATCTAGATCTATTTTACTAGAGATCTAGATTTCTAGATTTAGATTAGATCTAGAATCTAGACATCTAGATCTAGATCTAGATCGAGTTTCTTAAAATAAAAAAACTACCTCTTTCGAAAAAAAAATCATGAAATGAGATTAAAATATTAAGATTTTTTTTATTCTAAACATTTATTTTTGGGCCTAAACTCGCCTAAACATAACAAAATCTAGAATCTTGTTTATCTAGTCTAGGTTCTAGATCTAGACGTCTAGTAGAGTCTATAGATCTAGATTCTAGATCTACTTCAAGCGGATTTACTAGATCTAGGTAGATCTTAGAATTCTTAATACTAATAGTATTAGTATTATCATTTTTAAGTGAAAAAGTAAATCTAGATCTAGATCTAGATCTAGAAGTCTAGATCTTGCATTTTTTTAGAATTCATAGATCTAGACCTAGACTCTAGATCTAGAATCTACTAGATCTAGATCTCTAGTACTGCTTACCTTTAGTTTCGTTTCCAAAGTGTAGCCCTGCTGAATTTTTTTTATTTTGGGATAAGACAAGGCCAAACATTATAACAAACAAATCACATTTTTATGAACAGCAGTGATTGTGTTTAATTAGATCAGACTACATCTAGATCTATTATTCAATTGTAGTGTTTGTGTAATCAAATGTAGATCTAGTAGTGATAATCCAGAAATTGCAATAATTTTTTTTTTCAAAACTACGACTTAATAATTAATAATAGAAAACATAAGTCTGAAATCAGCTGAGAATGCACTAGGAAATGAAGAAAATTGTTTTCTGTAAGCAAGAGTTCTCCGATACCGTAAATAAATAGGTTAATAATAACTTAAGTAAGTAACTAGTAGTAAGTAAATACTAAGTATGCAAGAACAACTAGATCTAGATCTAAGTAGTAATAGAGTAGCCGGTAATCTATCGTTTTGGGTACGTAAAATTGCCCGCGACTAGTAATGTGAAAAACAGGTGACTCCTTAAATTTTAATAATTATTTCACATTTTGAGGAGGATTTATGTTTTGAAAAATACAAAAATGTTTCCTTCTTTCATTTATGTACCTGTTTTTAAACAATTGAATTAGAACTTTTCAGTAATAAATGAAGACTAGCGATGTTTCCAACAGATGCAACCATGCTCATTTACTATAGCAGCCATCTTGTTTAAGTTTTTTTTTATAGCGGATATAGCGCGAGACAGGCGGAAGTCACTCTATTTTACAAATGGCTGCTGTTTATATAGCAAATCTTGCTTGCAAACACTGCTGTTTAAAGTTAATTTCTGGCATATATTGATATATTTAGCCATTGATTTAGGTTTATTATTCATTTATCTATAATATTTGACACAAATATATCACAATATACTTCTACTAAAGCCTTGACAATGAGGTAACTTTTTCGTACATTAATAGCCGCGGGCGATTTTACGTACCCAAAACGATAGATTGCCGAGTAGCCTATGTTATAATTATCTAGATCTAATTATAATACTAAATCTATTAATAAATAGGATAGGCTCAATAAAACATACGGTAATCTATCGTTTTGGGTACGTAAAATCGCCCGCGATTTGTAATGTGAAAAACAGGTGACTCCTTAAATTTTAATAATTATTTCACATTTTGAGGAAGATTTATGTTTTAAAAAATTCAAAAATGTTTCCTTGATTCATTTATGTACCTGTTTTTAAACAATTAAATTAAAACTTTTCCGTAATAAATGAAGACTAGCGATGTTTCCAACAGATGCAACCATGCTCATTTACTATAGCAGCCATCTTGTCTAAGTTTTATATTTATAACCTTTTAGCGCCAGATTCAGGGGGAAGCCACTCTATTTTACAAATGGCTGCTGTTTATATAGCAAATCTTGCTCTCAGACACTGCTGTTTAAAGTTAATTTCTGGCCTGTATCGATATATTTAGCCATTGATTTAGGTTTATTATTCATTTATCTATAATATTTGACACATAAGTATGACAATATACTTCTATTAAAGCCTTGACAATGAGGTAACGTTTTCGTACATTAATAGCCGCGGGCGATTTTACGTACCCAAAACGATAGATTACCAAACATACTATTCATAAGTAAGAAGTAGGCCTAAACTCCTAAACTCTAAAGTAAGACAGTCTAAACTTCATAGGCCTAATGATAATAATATTATAATAATAAATAGTTAAATACTGAGTGACTGTAGTACTGTACTGTGTTGAGTCACTGAGTGTCTAGGTAGTGTGATAAGTGATTAAGTGTGTCTGTCGTCTGTGTTAGACTGTTAGACTCTGTTTTTTTTAGTGAGTGTTCTTTTTAATTAATGTGTTAGTCAACTTTCCTGTGCTGTGACTTTGTTAACCAGTGTCAATGACGACTGGTAACTCAGGTGTAGGGGGAAATTTACCAGAACTAGGCTAGTTGTAGTTAGGCTAATAAAATTAACGAGCCGACCTGCGGGGAATCATATGCCGCTATTTAGTTGTTTTATTTTCTACTTTTCAGTAATTCATAATTTGAATGCTGCCACTTAAAATATTTGCTTTTAAACACTAAAACCCTCCTTTCCCCCAACCCCTACCCCTGTGAAAGCAGCCTCCTCTTAGTTACCTCCCCTAAGTTTAAAATCGTTTCAAACTAAATTATATGCCCCTAATAGCCGTCACTAAACCTGGCTCTACAATTGTAAACATTTAGCGTGAACCACAGCTCACCAGACCATGTGGGGGTGGGGGTGGTAGTGATATGCCTAGAGAGGAAGAGAGGGGGCTGCTAGGAGGCGCGCTTACAGCTTGGTGTTGTTGGTGTTTTCTATGGTCTCCAAGAAAAGAATATTATATACAGATAACTAATTCACTGATCAGTGATTAGCCTTGTAATTTTATTTAAAGTAAAAAATTAAAGTAATTTAAGGAAATAAATCTTAATCATTCTTATGATTCTTAGTCCTACTAAATCATACACATTCATCATAGTGAAATAGTCAGCTTTAGTCTTACCGAACTTTTATACTATTACTATTATAAAAAAAAAGATTATTATGTCTATTTAACTTAACTACAAGATTAATTAATTATCTTACAACTACTATAGATTTATTGACAATCTAGTCTCTAGATCTTGATAGTAGTAAAAAGCCTTATAATAATAAATAAAAATAATATACTCTTGGCTAATATCAGTAATAAATTGAATGAGGACTTGTTTAATCATTCAGATTAAAAAAGTGCTGTAAAAATGACACCGGTCAAGTACACCCCATTGCCTACTACAGAAGAGGAACAGGCATTTGACTACAGATCTGTTTTTACCTACGGCAAGAATGACTACGCTCCAAAACCATCATTTCAGTCTATTTATACCTATGGAGGCTATGACTCAACCACTCCCAACAAAGAATATGGTCAGATTTTTATCAATTCTTTTTGAGATGTTTGAAATTAATTAAAACATTTAGGTTATGAAGCAAAAAAATATTCAGCTTATTATTTTTTTAAAATAAAACATACCTTTTCAAACAAGTGAATTCATACATATTTATATTTAACAAATTTTTTTTTGTTAAATCTCTACAGTCTCACCTCTCCGCACTGACACTTTAGCTCGCTTCCTGGTGACTTTGGGTTATTCCATCATCTTCGTTGTAACCTTTCCTATTATTGTGTGGTTTAGTTTTAAGGTAATCACTGTTTGTTTGGTTTGAAGTATTTTTTAATATACTTTGAAATATAATTCAAATGTAATGAACCCAGCAACAAATATTACTTAATAATATACATTTTTATTTGAGGCTATCAGCCGCTTAATTTGTTGTACTTTTAAAATATAAGGACACCAAAGGAAAATAAAAATAGTTATATTTACAATTCTGTTTAAACTTCTCATTACAGAAAGTACATGAGAATGAACGACTGGTTGTATTTAGACTGGGACGTTTGTACAGATCAAAAGGACCAGGTAAAATATGGGGAAATTGTTTGATTACACACATATGCCTGTAATAATGAAATATTATAGGCTTTCAACCAAGATCTAGCCTTCACATGAGCCTGATATAGAAAACAGCTTAGAGATGGTCAGTAATTGGAAATGTATGTGTTTACTTAGTGTGTTTTGCCTCAGTAATAACATAGCACTAGTTTTAATTCCACAGACATGATTTTTTTATCATGTAACATACACTGTACTGACAAGCAGATCACCACCGTTGTCATTTTTAAAAAAATGTTAGTATATATGTACTGTTGGAGGCCTACGCTGATGGTGATAGCATTAAAAGCAAGTAGTTATTATTATTAAAAACACAAATGTAACAACATATAATTCTTATCGTCTTTATCCATCCAATTATCTGGCAGGCTTGGTGCTAGTGTTTCCATTGCTGGATCGTGTCCACAAAGTTAACATCAGTCTACGAGCCTTTAGTGTTCCACCTAAGCAGGTATGTAAATAAAAATAAAAGTAAAATCTCCCCTTCAGACCCGACTGTCAGGAAGACAGATGAAGTAGAGTTCACCATGACTTCTGCTTGTGGAGGGGGTTGTGTGGTCAGTTGTATACTCAGCCACCTTAACTCAAGTGAGTCAGATACCCATCAGAATTGGGTGGAGACAGTAATCACATATGGAAACAAACTCAAGACTTGTGGTGGTTCAGCAGTTGAGTGCTCTACCACCAGACCATGCCTCCCAGTAAGCAGGTATATGACATATGTGGAACTTCTTATTTATTATAAGTTATGACACAGTAACTTATACAAGCTTTACTCTAGTCTAATAAAAAAAAATTAAGTTTATGCTAGCTAGATTTTCACTTTTATCTACCTATATTTATAATCATTAGTCTTCAATAAAACCATTCATCATTTCAGATCTGATTTTATTTTAATGATAGATAATGCATAGTGTTTTAATTGTAATGTGTTTTGTAAGATAAATATAACTCAGATAGATTTTTTTTTTAAATCTATTATGTCGCTGTTAAAAGGTGTTAACTTACAATTAAATACTTATCTTACTCTGTGAAGCTGTTGGAGAGATGAGATGATGTCTGTTAAATGTTAAAATGTGTACTTGATTTATTTTTGAGCCTCTTGGCTTGTAACTAGTTCAGCATAACCTGTTTCTTCTTGTAACCCCCCCCCCCCTCCCCCTCCAACCAGGTGATCACAGAAGACAAGGCCATCATTGAGGTGGGGGCAGAGATTTACTTCCAGATTGTTGATGCCGAGAAATCTGTCACCAATGTGCAGAACCTGGACGGCTCCACCAGGATCCTGCTACAGACGGCTCTCTGCAATATGCTGGCCCAGAAATCTTTGTCTGAAATTGAGGCAGAGAGGACTGTCCTTGCTAATGCTTTGATGGTAAAATTTCATTTAAGTTATGAAATTTAAATGCAGCTCATACATTTTTAGAAAAGTAATTAAAAGTAGCCTTCTCTATTAACCCTACTATACTGCTGTACTTAATTTTTGACTATTTCCAATTCAGTTGGTGTATTACAGTACTTAAATTTTGGTACTTTGCTTTGTATGTGTAAAAAAGCATCCCCAACTGAAAAAGAACAACCAAACAATACCTTATGTTACTAATTCAAGGAACAAATTGTAGGGGACTTAAGTTTAGGATTTCAGGTCTAGTAGGGTTAATGGCATCACTGCAATAATGCTGAAAATAGTAAATTTTGTTATTGTAACAATAATAAGTAGATTATTTGTAGAGTTAAATCAAATTAATAAAGTAGAAGTATAAATCATAAAGTAAACAAGCTAGTTATTCAGATCTGGTGGTCAATATGGTGGATAAAGTAGAGTTTACCTGTTTCTGTGGCTTTAGCTATTGAAAAGGTAGTGTGGTCGTTTCATTCCCAAGCTGCCTTTATTTTGATTTATTATGTCGTATGTATTATTTTTGTCTTGCTCACAAAAATATTTTTCATTACCAAATTTGAAGAAGTATTTATTATCTCTTCACCTTAATTTTTAAAACAATTTTGGTTACTTTTTCAGGTAAGCAGTAACAAAACATGTGTGAACTGGGGTGTCAACATCACTAGAGCAGAATTGTAAGATTTTATTCCTATCTTTGTCTCATAGTGACGGGGTTAAAAATTCAAATTACTAGAAATTAAGATAGAAATGTAGAAAACAAATATAAATTAAAATCACTTGAAACAAGGATAGAAATTTAGAAAATAAATATAAACTGATTGTCTAATTTCTTTCTTTTAGGATCTTGTTTTCTTCTTTATCTGTAAGAACACTTTACTGACATCTGTATTTAAATACTAAAAAGGGAAAGGCGTTTTTATTCACTACTACAATTATTTTATTTGTTTTTTAACAGACTTTTTCTCTCTCTACAGGTCTCAGATCAAAGTCCTGTCGGCCCCACCGCCCAAGAAAACTCCCCAGATTTTTATGCCCCCAGGACTGTTTGGGTCAGCAGGTCCCTCCCCTCTACCCACAGCTTTTGCCCAGCTAGCCCAGGCTTTTTCTGACCCAGGTAGCCAAGGTGAGTGCTTGGTGTCTTTAAATGTGTTTTTACAGTTCATTCAAGAAGTGTCTGTGCAACGACATGGCCTAGTGGTAGAGTGCTAGACTACTACTTCAAAAGTCTCAAGTTTGAAGCTGGGTTCAAGTAAGCTCATTGGTTACCTAACTCGTGTTGCCAAGGTCTCAGAAAAAGGTGAAATCTACTTCATTTGCCCCATTAAGCATTAGGTTATCTATGCAAAGCCACATTTACTTTCCCCTACGTAAGTCCTTATCCTTTAAACTCAGTGCAGCTTGTATAGGCATCTTATCTCATGAATAAATATAGGGAAAGTTTAAATGTAATACTGAATTTTTTTGAGACAACTTTTTAAACCCAGGATTCTCTTCTCAGATATGGGCAGGGAGGGGTTTTGTGTTATACATCCAATGTTGTTAACATAGTGCAAGTAGATCCCAAAGTATATTTTAATTATTGGGGGGGGGGGGGGGGGGGGGGGGGTCAATATATACAACAAGTTCTGATATGCTAGAAAATACATCACTTTTAAAATGTTTGTATGTCAGTTTAAAAAAATAATTACCTGTAGTATAACTAATTTTATTCAGGAGACAACAAGGCTGAGGTTATTTCACAAGCCATGAGTGCGTTTGTCAGTGGGTTGGTAGATGGACAAACCCCGCCCCCAGTCACTGCAAGCACAAATGATCTAATCACACTACTGGGAGCAGGAAGTGTGGACCAGATGACCAACATTCCCCTGGTAGAAACAGAATCCCTCCCGATGGGAGGTCATCTACCACGACCCCAGGGTTTGAACCCAAGTGCGTTGCTAGCGAAGATACGAAGCGCCCTTAGTGAGAGCCTAGTGAACAAAGTAGGAGAGAGTTACGAGTTCCACATCAGTGGTCAGCCAGGTGGAACCTACTTCCTGGACTTGAAAAGTGGTCAGTATTGTCAATTATTTGGTACGGCTGGAAAAGTGGTCAGTATTTGTCAGTTATTTGGTACGGCTGGAAAAGTGGTCAGTATTTGTCAGTTATTTGGTACGGCTGGAAAAGTGGTCAGTATTGTCAATTATTTGGTACGGCTGGAAAAGTGGTCAGTATTTGTCAGTTATTTGGTACGGCTGGAAAAGTGGTCAGTATTTGTCAGTTATTTGGTACGGCTGGAAAAGTGGTCAGTATTGTCAATTATTTGGTACGGCTGGAAAAGTGGTCAGTATTTGTCAGTTATTTGGTACGGCTGGAAAAGTGGTCAGTATTTGTCAGTTATTTGGTACGGCTGGAAAAGTGGTCAGTATTGTCAATTATTTGGTACGGCTGGAAAAGTGGTCAGTATTTGTCAGTTATTTGGTACGGCTGGAAAAGTGGTCAGTATTTGTCAGTTATTTGGTACGGCTGGAAAAGTGGTCAGTATTTGTCAGTTATTTGGTACGGCTGGAAAAGTGGTCAGTATTGTCCATTATTTGGTACCGCTGGAAAATGGTCAGTATTTGTCAATTATTTGGTACGGCTGAAAAAATTATGTTGAAAATAACAAGTAAAATATATTAATTTTAGTATGTTTTAATATGTATCTTGTTTTAGTTATTCCTGCATTTTTAAAAACATGTATGCACTTGTATAATACCTAAAAAACTGTATAATTGAAATGTAAAATATAAAACTATGATTTGATTTCTTACTTTTATTGTGAGATTCAATATTTTCTTTCGTTGTCCAGGTCATGGAACTATTGGTGAAGGTCACGACCCTAGCGGTCATCCTGCAGCCATCTTGAGTCTGAATTCAGATGACCTTGAAGCCCTGCTGTGTGGGGAGCTGAAACCATTTGAGGCTTACATGAGCGGCAGATTGAAGGTGTCAGGTGACACCAGCGCAGCTTTAAAACTTGAGGAACTGGGCACTAGGATCAAATCCATTTCAGCCGCTGAGCAAATCAAGCATTTGTAGTAGATTTTTTTTTCTAAAATAAATATCTGCTACACAGATTAAATTCATTAGTTTGAAGCTGATTCGGTAATGTTTAGCCAATTTATATTATTTTATAAAAATGATCTCTTTTTGCGATTGTTTGCCAAGGTTAAAAAAGAATAGCTAATACCTTTTATGTAATGTTAACCCAGAGAAGGTTCTATGGCACTAGACAAGTTATGGCATGTTTTCTTATATAGTCTGTACAACTGCTGACTACTGCCATATTGCTGAGTCCAACACATTGATTTTCTTATATAATTTAGTTTTCTTTTTAGTGTAAAGCTAAGATACTTTTTTAATGGGAGATAGGAAAGGGGTCCAGAAGTCAAATACTCACTACAAAAAAGATTTTGTTCTCTTCATGTTAACTTTTATTTTTTATATGATTTTTATAAACTTTTCAACACACCTTTCAAACTGCTATAAAAAAAATAAAGTAGAAATGAATGCCAGCAGCCTCCATTAATTTGTCCATGTAAAATGTTTTGGGATGTTGACTATGATTTCCTTAAATTGTTTTCTTTTTACTAGCTGTGATACTTAACTATATTTTTTATATCTTCAGTTGTTTTGTTTTTAAATGTGTAGTGTAGAGTACTTTTTGTTACCGAAATGTAAAATTGTAAAAAAAAAAAAGTGCATAAGAAGAATAAAATATTAAAGTACTCATGCTTATCTTTCTTGTGACTTGATTGTAGTTGCAAATGTGTTATTTGTTTGCAGTATCTGAAATGAAAAACAAGAAAAATACTATGCGTCTTGGTCAGACATCCACCCACCATATTGACCGTTGTTCTGGAATTAGTGAGTGGAAAAACAATTGTTTCATTGGCCAGTGGGAGATATTCCTCATTACCATTCTTTAACAAATGTGGGGAATTCTGATACATTCCCCTTAATCAAAGCTATTTTTAGCTCTCGGAATTTTGAAATGAGTCAAGCCACACGCACAGAGCGATATTGGCGTGACCTAGCAGATCAATAGTTGCAACAAGATATAGTTGGCGTGTGGGTAACTGCTAGAGACTGTACTGTTGTTGAATGTAAGCGGTATGTAATGTCTTTTTATAGGACATGGGAGTGAGCGCTCAGATTATAATATCATCATATTGGCGCTGAAATGGGTGAGACGATTGTCCTACTTAAAAGAAAAATATGGCAAGTTCCCAATTTGTTACATCCCAGTTATCAACTTATTTCAGAATTAAAAACGGATTTTGAACTCATTTAATTTTTACTCCACTAAGATACTAAGAACTTCGGCCCACTCTTACCCCCCCCCCTCCCACCTCTGTAATTTCGCCAATTTATTAACATGTTTTTATTCCCCCCCCCCCCTCCTACTCGTCTATTTAATTTAAGGAGCGCAATTAATTTGCCTTAAAAGTAATTTCACAATAGATTTTGTGTAGTGTTTTTTTTTTATCTTTTCGACACAACTGCTTGAATTAATGAATATAGTAATTCCATAAAGGGGGGGGGGGCATTGTCCCACGGTCCTTGTCCAGATAAGCCCCACCTCTGTTGCAAGAAGTGCACGAGCAAAAAGTTAAGCCCCGCTGCTTGTGACCTATTTCTGATGTCAAGACATTTGAGTATTTAAACACACGCCATAACAACTTCTTATCTGCTTCTAGGGTTAGAGTCGGGGTTACGGTTAGGGTTGGGGCTAAGGTCAGGGTTACGCAGGGGCGGAACTACCATACCGCCAGACCCCGCAATGCGGGGGGGGCCCAGGACGTTTAGGGGCCCAGTTCCGACCAAAAAACAATGCATTTTTTTTTTCAAAAATTATGTTTTCATGCATCTTGAAAGTGGTTTTGTAAAAAAAAAAAACAGGTCTACTATAGCAGAGATTGTTGCATAGAAAAATATTTTAAAATCTACAAGAGCTATAGTTTGAAAGGTAGGTAAACATTCACACTACTTCCATGACTTACTGCCCTTCTTTAAAATAGGATGCCCACGAAGCTCATTTAAATAGTTTTGTACTATATATATTAAAAAGCAATTGATTCTCTGAATTGTTACTTAAATAAGACGTACTATACAATAGTATAGCTATAAAAATCAATGTTTTCAAAATTGATATTATAAAAGCCAAAAATGAAAAAAATAAACATAACGCGAGAAACCATTCACGAATCAAGCTAACGTCTTTATATATTTTTGACCAGCATGATTTAGACACTACCTTTGGTTCAAAATGAGTTTAGACTAAATTTTTTCTGTTTTGTTCTCTCAGAATGGTTATATATTGCAATGAAGTAAACTAAATTACTCAGGATATAGATCATATATATATACTAGCCGTCCCGGCCAGGCCCTGCTCTGGCTTCTGTGAAAAACCTTTCTGTTAAAGACCATTACCTGTGTGTTTAGTAATCATCATAAACCCGGCATTGCCCACCCAAACCACAACCAACCAAAACAACAAAACGCAAACATAACGCTAACACAATTACAAATACAAACGAAAACAAAAACCTAACAACAAACCCAACCACAAACACCAATACCAACAAAAAAAAAACGAAAAAGCAAACGAAAACAAACCAAATCCAAACGCAAAACCAACCAAAAACACAAATACAAACCCAAAGAAAAAAACACAAACAAAAACGAAAAAAAGAAAGAACAAAAACGAACCAAATCAAAACGCAACCACTAACGCAAACCCACCTAAACACAAAGAAAACACTAACGCGAACATAAACGCCCGGGGCGGAATCACCTGTTTTAGCTTAATGAACGACTATAGTACCCCAACTTATTCATAGTCTTTTGCACTCACTTAAACGAACGCGCCTGTTTCAATTTAATGAACAATTTTAATACTCCAAGCTTATCCGTAAAATACCTACAACATTTGCACTTGATCAATCCCCGCTAATTATGTAATTATTTTTTTTTCCCAACACCAAAACAAAGTAATTAAAAAGTAAATTATTTTCGACTAATGCAATGGTTTTATAAAGGGAAGTAATTGTGTTTTCCTAATTTATCAAAGGGAAGTAAGTGCTATAGGACTAAATAAAGACATAATTAGAATTTTTGTAAAAGATGATATTTTTTTAAAACTTGTGTTTAATGAACATGCCGACAATTGTTACTATAATTTGAAAAATGACAATTATTTCCCAACACTTTCAATAGTAATTTTTTAGCTCATAAATTTAGACAAATGCGCACGATAATTTTCTAACACTTAAATTCATTAAGACCAACGACAAACATATGCATTACATACAGAACTGAGCTTTATATATATTACTAGCCGTCCCGGCCAGGCCCTGCTCTGGCTTCTGTGAAAAACCATTCTGTTAAAGACCATTACCTGTGTGTTTAGTAATCATCATAAACCCGGCATTGCTCACCCAAACCACGACCAACCAAAACCAAAACAACAAAACGCAAACATAACGCTAACACAATTACAAATACAAACGAAAACAAAAACCTAGCAACAAACCCAACCACAACCACAAACACCAATACAAACACAAAGAAAAAACAAACAAAAAAGCAAACGAAAACAAAAACCTAACAACAAACCCAACCACAAACACCAATACCAACAAAAAAAAAAAAAACGAAAAAGCAAACGAAAACAAACCAAATCCAAACGCAAAACCAACCAAAAACACAAATACAAACCCAAACAAAAAAACACAAACAAAAACGAAAAAAGAAAGAACGAAAACAAACCAAATCCAAACGCAAAACCAACCAAAAACACAAATACAAACCCAAACAAAAAAAAACAAAAACGAAAAAAGAAAGAACAAAAACGAACCAAATCAAAACGCAACCACTAACGCAAACCCACCTAAACACAAAGAAAACACTAACGCGAACATAAACGCCCGGGGCAGAATCGCCTGTTTTAGCTTAATAAACGACTATAGTACCCCAACTTATTCATAGTTTTTGCACTCACTTAAACGAACGCGCCTGTTTCAATTTAATGAACAATTATAATACTCCAAGCTTATCCGTAAAATACCTAAAACATTTGCACTTGATCAATCCCCGCTAATTATGTAATTATTTTTTTTCCCAACACCAAAACAAAGTAATTAAAAAGTAAATGCTTTTCAACTAATGCAATGGGTTTCATAAAGGGAAGTAATTGTGTTTTGCCTAATTTATCAAAGGGAAGTAAGCGCTATAGGACTAAATAAAAACATAATTAGAATTTTTGTAAAAGATGATATTTTTTTTAAAACTTGTGTTTAATGAACATGCCGACAATTATTACTATAATTTGAAAAATGAA